CTGTGGGGAAGTGGAGAAGGAGTGTGAGGGGGTTTCTGTGGAGAGTTGATGGATGGACTCCCACCACCCTGTACGGAGGCTGACACTCACGATGGCCTCCGTACGCTACTGTACTCACTGCGCTGGTCTGGGGGAAAGCGGAGCGGCTCATAATTGCATGTGAATTATGGGAAAGCAAGCAACAGTGCTTTCAGTGGGGTAAGAATCACAAGCGGTCGGATAAACACAAACCCTCGACTCGACCGACTGTAGCTGAGAGGGAACATGTAGACAAACAGTAGAATTATAACCCTGACGCTGTAAACATCCTCCTCCACTCACACACACTCACTTCCTCTCAGGACCTACAGGTCTTCAACCTATACTCTGTGGACATGGAGTCACAGTCGGAGCTAGATTCTTTCAAGAATTTCCCAAGTGTCGGATCAGTAAAGTTCAGTAAAGTTCAGATTTGTTCTACATGGACTCGGTTTAATCTACATAGCCTTTAATCAGTGCAGGTTAGGCCACAGTAATACAGTCCCTGGTGGTCACTCCTAGTATGTACACGCAGTACTTTATAAGTACTTATTCCCCTTCTACTTCCACTGATTTGCTCCCTTCTATCAATTTAATCTCACTATTTTTTCATCTTATCATCGTCATTTTAGTTCTTTCTCCTTGGGTTAAGGTACATTACTGCCCTCTAGTGGTTTATTTTCCCCACTGCCCAACATGTCTCCCAGAGGCATTAACACCAATTGCAAAAGAAAGTAAATGAAGAGTATAATAACAGTTACAGCTTCGTGTTCAAACAGACAGACATGTGAAAATATTGTTTTATTGTGAACTGTTTGGTCAAAAACACCTCGGACTTCCTCCACTGCTGACTGTTGTTTCTCTGTTACAGTGTAATACAGTATAAATAGTTTTACAAGGTGGGAGGAGGAGTTAATAGTGATGGCGGTGGTGTGTTTGTTGGGTGTGGTGGATCAGCGGGGGGAGTGAGGGAGGGAGGGAGGGAGGGAGTGAGGGAGGGGATGTTTAAGAAAGAGAAAACAGGTTGTCAGTGTGGTTGAACAGCAAAATAGCATTTTCTCCCCTGGGCTCAGCCTCCACAGATGTTTCATTCAGAGCCCATGGCAGGGCCACTCTAAAAAGTGCTCCAGTCCCGACACAATTCAGGCCCTTTGTGCGATAAAGGAGAGGAGCTCGGCCCACTGTTTACTGCTCGTCCACCCCCATGCCCCTCTTGTCTAACCCCCCTCCTCATGTTAGCAGGCGGAACAATTGGGGAGGGCCTTGCCCAGAGCTAGGGCGGTGTGGCAGGTCAACAGAATGGGCTGTGAATCCTGTGCCTCTGAATCCTCTGTGTGGGTGGTCCGGCTCTCCCCACTCTGTCTCCCTCGCTCACACACATGCATGTAGACGCGCTCTCTCCTTTCCCCTCCTCTCTTTTCTTTTCCCCTTCTCTCCTCTCCTCTAATATTTTCCTCTCTTCGACTCCGTCCTCGTCGTCTATGACTTCCCCTCTCTTCTCCTTTTCTTCCCTTCCCTCTCTTCTCCTCTCCTCTTCCTGCTCATTAGCTCATCCA